TAGAAGATACAATTGGGTTGCTATAAATCACAATTGACTGAGTTCCAATAATTTACTTGCACATTAGAGGTTTGTGATGGAGAATGAATGTTTACTGAGTTGTTGACTGGCCTCTGTGCTTGGATTATGAGCAGTCTATCACATCTCCACTGACTGATAGTCTGGTGTGGGTAACTGTGGGAGGAAATATCCTCTGGAGTGCATTAAAATACTTTATTGCCTCATTATGAATCCTGGAACAAGAACACGATGATTGAGATAAACAAGCGCAGTCGTTGAACAGACATGTGGCCTGTACTGTATGCAGCTAAAGTCATCCATCCTGGTTCTGGTGGGAGTGACATTCAATTCTCAGTGGAATCATATTGTCATTTTTCATATTTTAAGAACAACCATTGCAATTTAAATGAATATAAAACTCAATCATTGCAAATCTCAATCAATTGAAGCTGGAAACTAAAATATGATTAAATGCCGCTCTTCTTAGGGCCTCAATAAAGATCTGGTGATAATTTTTTTAAGTCTGATCCAACGTGTTTTTCCTCATTTTTTCTGACTTAAAAATCTTCTATCATGTTATTTTTAGGCATATATTATAGGTCTCAGATATATACAAATATATAAAAAACATGTCTATTAAGTGTTTTGCTCAAAATACAGATCACCTATTTTAGCCATCCCTCATACCCCTCTATTTCAGCCCTGTTAGAAAAGGGCAGATTCTGGGTCCTTAGCTTTAAAAAACAAAGAAAATAAGGGGGGGGGGGAGCTTGTGCTGCTCATAATTACCGACATACTCAGCTAAATGCTGCCATGATGAAACGCATCATGTTCAAAACCACATCAAGGATTATTTCTGAAACAGTATGGAGCTCAAATGCTTTTCTCTTGCGGGTTTACCACAAGGTGATTTCCTTTTTGTATCCTGCTTTTTTACACAAGTTAAAAAAGTTGTTAGCGAAGTTGTTAGCAATGCTTGCTAATGTAAACAAAGACCATATTATGTCCAAAACACATTGTGCATCGTTTCTGATAGCAACGTTTCTGTCATATCGGCAGCAAATCTGGATCAGCTCCGTTGTACCCCCGTTTTTAGAGATTTGGGTAAGGAGGAAAAGAGAGAGGGTTGTGTATTCTGACACTTGGTGAGTTCCCCGACACACCGGGGACACATATTCATGTATAAAAGGCGTGCAAAAGTGCATTTTGCATGATAAGTCCCCTTTAAACTTAAGCAATGACACAGCAGTTATTTTAGACAAACAATATCTGTTTTGGCAGGTGTAACTTCCTCAACTTTTTCCACCTGATTTAAAGATGACGAAAAAAGTAGCTTGGAAAGATTATCTGCATACATTTCTTTTCTGTTTGCTTTTATTCACAAAAGAGGGAAAACAACATGTGATTTTTCGAATTTGCCTCTAGGGCTTTTGTACCTTTGTAAGAGATAGGTCAACATGAAAGGAGTCAGTCTTAGCTTTGCACAGATAATTATCACCCGATGCTTCACCTCCCCTAAGCTTTATGGTGCATTTTAGCCTCTTTCAGCTCTTTGTTTTGGTTTAGAAAACTACCAGTTTTACAGTTTTTGTTTCCGCAGAAAGCAGCCGTTTACATACCAAAATACTCTGTACACTCCCTGACCAGCAATTAAAATATTGGGGTTAAAAGTTTAGTCTTTCATCTGGGTTCTGGAATGTGTATAAGAGAAGGTTTTGAAGCCAAAGCTTCACTCGTTCAGTTCAGGAGATTGCTACAATCTACTGCTCCATTGTGGTGCCAATGGGAAAAATATCACAAGGTTTCATCAAAATAAGCTGAGAGAGAGAAGCAAAGTGAATCATTGCGAAAGAGGAAGAAAAGACAACAATTGAGAGAGTTATTGAAGCATACAAATCTAGAAAATGCAAAGCGAATGGAACTAATTGATGATGAGGTAGGTAGGGTACCTGAGGGACAGAGGTGGCAGGAGGTGTCATGGGGATGCAAAGCCTCTCTTATTATTTTCCAGTCCAGCAGGCAGCTGATTTCTGTTTTAATTACAGGACTCAGCAGTGTTTCCTGTCCCTCAGAGTGAAGCTTAAACATAAGGCACACTCTTAAATAATCGCATTGTACCGTGCATTATGATGGATGCGTTCCACGTGGATGCAGAGCTTTGACTTTATCCAACTTTGAGTAAATGCAGATATTGTCTCCAAAATATGTATGTTTAACCGTACTGCCTGAACGCATCATTAAATGTCTACAATTCTGCTCTGTGTGATTACTGCATAAGAAGACATGAAAAAGTAAGTTAAATGAGTTTGAAATATGTACAAATAATTGTCATTATTTTTGCATTTTTATGCATTGTGTTGGTCATTAACCAAATTATTGAAGAAAAGATAACTGAGTTTCTAGCGGTGCATTTTGTTGTCTAGACACATATGTAAAGACAGAGATGACAATTAAGATATAGATGGAAAAGTAGAAAGAATAAATTAATAACTAATTACTTTATGGCATGTATACAAGTATGGCAAAGTGAGAGGAAGATATTGAATGCTGTACTAGGGCAGTATTAACCACTTCAAATTAAAAGATAGGGGACGGAAAAAGGCACTGAAGGATGGCAGAGAAATAAAGGAAACATGTGATGCAAGCACAATGTTTGATATAAAATTGTTGTGAATAAGATAACAGAGTAAACAAGTGGTGAGTCTGGGGCAATGTGTGAGAAATACAGTACATGTGTGTTGTGCAGAATAAACAGCAGTGAGAAAATGGCCCAGAGTGAGGGATTTCTCAGGCTGAATCCTAATGTATTTAAAGCACATACAAACACAGATACCAGACACGAAAGGGGAAATGGGAAAGCAGGAGAATGAGGATAGGAAATGGGGAATACACGGATGGAGGAGGGGATGGCAATTATTTTGTTGCAGGAAATGATGAAGAGATAACAGAGAAAACAGGGAGGGACAAAAAGAAGAAAGAAAATAGTACTAAGAGAAATACATTTGTATGTAATAGTGTTGCTTGGTGGGATTGAAATGCAATTGTTTTGCGCAAGCCTTTGTTGAAAAATGGTAATAAATTACCCCTGTATTATTAACCTGTATGCCTAACAAAAATACTTAAAAAGTTGCAACATCAAAATGTTTCGATAAAGTTGAGTTGTTATATAAAGCTGTCAAACTAACTGGGAAGTGTAACTGTTAAACTGCAGCTCAGTTTCCTTCAAAGAAGGAATTCTGTATTAAAACAAAATGTCATTCGGAAGCTACTCACTTGAATGGACCAACTCAGTTCTCACATCTCTTAAAATGTAGTTGCGTTATTAAAAATGAAAACAGCAACAAATAACTCTTTAAATTTACATTTAGGCAGTCAGTTCTACTTTAGTACAAAGAATCCTTTAAAGGTGGGGTAGATAAGTTTGAGAAACCGGCTTGAGAAACACTTTTTGTTATATTCCATGGAATGCTCTTAACATCCCGATAGCAATGAATATCTGAAGTGCTTTGACAAAAAATCCATAAAAAAATGTCATCTGTGGAAGCCGTAGTACTGTAAAAAGTACAACCAATCATTTTAGCCGGCCCGGCTAAAATAACTGGATGGCCTACCTGCCTGTTAGCCTTCCATCTGTGCACAAACTTATGTCGTGCCCTCATTGGTCATGTGCGCGTTCGTGTGTGTTGGAGGAGGGGCTCTGTAAGGAAGTGGCAGATTTTTTCCGGTTGTGTATTTTCAAATTCTAGCGCACTCGAGCTGGTTTCTCCAAAATGACCTACCCCACCTTTAATATTGTAATATCATGCTCATTTTCAGGTTTATATTTGGGGAGAGGAGAGAAACTCCCTCTGGAGGGAACACATGGATGTTAGCCTTTGCAGACCATTTACATGCACTAAAACCTATATTACACACTACAGGAAAGGGATACACCCAAAAGCATAAAAGGGACCCTTTCAGTTTTTTTTTCAGTTTCAGTTTCAATTTAGTAAATCCCTCAACCACCTATTAAGAACTTTGAAGACAAATAACACAAAGTCGAAAGTAAAGCAGAGGAGGGCGAACAGAAGACAATCAGGAACGGAGAGTTAGATCTGGGTGGAGGGGAAAATGGGCAGATAAAAGCTGGCAGTGAGACAGTCTGGAGATGGAGTTATACTGCACTGAGGCTTAACAGAGCCAAGATAAGGAGAAAGTAAGATTGGGCAAGCTAGAACATTTAAAATGTGAGAAGGAGAGAAAAGAGTGTAGCTGGAGGGTGAGACGGACTCTCATTGAGAATGAAAGAGAATAAAAGAGCTTGTGGAAAGTGGAAGGCATGATTAAAAGCCTGTTCCGGGATCCATACAAGCATTAATAAAACATCTAATGCACGTCTGTGAAACTGTTTCTTTCTCTCTCTATTTTTCACTTAGCATGGAAACTATGTGCTCCTAATAACAGCTTTTCATTTCACAATTCATTGCGGCAGACGGACGTGACCTCGCTCTCTGCCCCTCATGCATTATAAATACACCATTACAACTTGTTGACTTGCACTCTGGGGTCCTGTGGCATGTTGACGGACCACTCAGCAGACAAAACGAATCAACGACATCATCATTAGGCGCACAGCCGGACAGGCAGCCTGCACTGATTGGGTTATTTCACCACATCACGTGGCCCCAGCCCTCCGTCTGACCCCCGTCCGATGGCTCACTATATCTATTGCAACCAAAGTCAACTGGGTTAAACTGAAAGCATAATCTAATGCTGCAGATGCCCCGAGGGGCGGCTCCACATCACATAACAATTCGTCTTCCAGCTGGAGTATACCAGGAAGTGTTGGGTGCAGGCAGGCTTCCGATTGGAGGCCTCTGGAGATGTGGTGAAAGCCAGCTGGCAGTGAGCGCAGGCCAGACAGCCAGATCGGAGGGACAATACAATGCTGGCACACACAGTCTGCTCTCGTCTCGTGTCTGTGCATGACAGCATGCGCGTGTGTGCTATTTTAGACTTACTTTAAGCAGATCCTTGTGAAAATCTTGGCCGTCGTTCAGTCTCTCCAGGTTGCTGATGAACTGCGTGCACGACATCCTCTTACCGATGTTCTGAAAACAATGGAATATTGGCTTTAATTACATACAATATTTACACACAGTGGTGGAAAAGGTATTCAGAACTCAGATTTAGTAGAAATATCAAGACGACAATGTGATACTACTCAGTAACAAGTACAAATCCTGAATTTGATATCTTAGTCAAAGTACAACAATATTAGCATCTAAATACTAAAGTACTCTTGATGCAGGATTTATCCTTTTAAAATCAAATGGTGTAATCACTGGATTAGAATTATTGATGCATGCAAGTGTTCATCACTACAATGTGCATCTGTTAAATCTGGAGCCCACTTTTTATTATTTGATATACACTGCAGGCCAGGGTAGTAAGCAGTATAAGCTATAATAATATATCATAATGGAATAAAAGTGAATTGAAAAATACTGTGATTTTATAACAGACACACATTTAAATGGGTTACAACAATGACTGAAATCATGTATATAGTATTTTTTAGATTACAAAACAACATCTTATCTTAACTACTTATTCTTTGATCAGATAATTACTGATTAAAAAAAACGAGGTAATTTTTGAAATATTTTCTAGATTAATTGAGGATGAAAGTGATGATGATCAGAGTCACCACCGAGATCACATTTATGGTATATCAGTTCAAATTAGTTTAAACTTTCCTAAAGAAGCTGATTTTCTTGAGCCACTTTAATTAATCATTCATCCGCAGAGCTGTACTATCACTGAGAAGAGTGGCCCAGATTTGCACAGCGAGGCTCTGACTATAATAGTAGCACATTAATGATGGTGAGAGGAGCTCAGCAGGCAGACCTGCAGATCAGCTGCTGATCAGGCTTATATTCCCCAAACTCCAGAGTTAATCAAAAGGGCATCTGAGAAGAATTCTGCTCTTAAAAATCACCTTTTATACGTTTTTTCTTTACCTGAATGCAACACGTGTACATATGTAAGCCAGACATGGATGGATTATTGGACAAGCCTACCTGACAGAGGCCAAGGGGGACAACGTTTTAGAGGCCCCACTGGCCTTGACCCGAAAATGTCACTTGAAGACACATGTACCAACGAAGAAGAGACACAAAATGACCACAGAGGAACATAAAACAACTACAAACACATGCAAATCAACTGCAAAAAACACAAAATCACCACAAAAATAGACAAAATAACTTCATAAATTGACCACAAAGAGACACAAATTCACCACAAAAGGACTGCAGAGAGATGAGAAGCAACTGAAAAAAGACAAAGTGACAACAAAGAGACACAAAATGGCTTCAAAGAGACACAGATTGACCCAGAAATTATATAAAAATGACTTCAAATATACACAAAATTAATACAGAGAAACACAAAATGACCCCAAAGACACTCACACTGACTTTAAAGATCCACAAAATAACAATAAACAACACAAAGAGACACAAAATTACCTTAATAACGAACAGAATGACAGAGACACAAAATACAAAAAGAGGCTAAAAAACTATAAAGTCTGTGTGTTTTGCTCCTTTATAGGAAAGGTGGTTGGGTTGTTTTGTGTCTTTGCACGGGGGGCAACAGTCTTAAATCCAGCACTGCTTCCATCACATACTAGTCATTACTCACCTGACCATGTAGATCAGTGTTCAGCAGCATGACGGCGCAGGTGAGAGTGTGAACTGCATCTAGAGGATAAATACAGAATGGTTAATTAATTGTGATTACACCGTTTATAAATAATCAGATAAGGACAGTCTGCCCCGTCCCTCACCTCTAGGTCGCTTTAAAGCAGAACTAGAGCTTGTCCTGCCTGCAAGGGCAAGCCCACCCGCTGAGAAGTGTACAAATATTTTAGGTTCACTATGAAACTGTGAAGGCAAGGCAAGTTTATTTATATAGCACCTTTCAACACAAGGCAATTCAAAGTGCTTTACAAAGATGAAAGGCATTACGAAAATGGCATTTAAAAACAGTCATTAAAAAGCAAAGGTAATAAAATATACATTAAAAGAAAAAAATACATGGATAAAAGTTACAGTGCAGTTTAGGATATGAATAGTTCAATTAAAAGCAGCGGCAAAAAGAAAAGTCTTCAGCCTGGATTTAAAAGTAGTCAGAGTTGCAGCGGACCTGCAGGTTTCTGGGAGTTTGTTCCAGATATTTGGAGCATAATAACTGAACACTGCTTTACCATGTTTAGTTCTGACTCTGGGGACAGAAAGCTGACCAGTCCCTGAAGACCTGAGAGATCTGGATGGTTCATAATTTAGCAGGAGGTCAGAAATGTATTTTGGGCCTAAACCATTTAAAGCTTTATAAACCAGCAGCAGTATTTTGAAATCAATTATTTGACACACAGGAAGCCAGTGTCAAGACTTCAGAACTGGAGTGATGTGATCCACTTTCTTAGTGTTAGTGAGGACTCGAGCAGCGGCGTTCTGAATCAGCTGCAGCTTCCTAATAGATTTTTTAGTGAGACCTGAAAAGACACCATTGCAGTAGTCCAGTCTACTGAAGATAAAGGCATGGACAAGTTTTTCCAAATCCTTCTGTGACATTAGTCTTTTAATCCTAGATATATTCTTTAGGTGATAGTAGGCTGATTTAGTAACTGTTTTCATGTGACTGTTGAAACTCAGGTCAGAGTCCATGACTACACCTAGATTTCTGGCTTTATCTGTTGTTTTGAACATTGCAGACTGAAGCTCAGCGCTCACTTTTATACGTTCTGCCTTGGCTCCAAAAACCATTACCTCAGTTTTATCTTAATTGGAGAAAGTTCTGACACATCCAGTCATTGATTTGTTCAATGCACTTACTCAGTGTTTGAATTGGAGCATAGTCTCCTGGTGAAATGGTTACGTACATTTGTGTGTCATCCACATAGCTATGGTAACTTATTTTGTTGTTCTTCATTATCTGAGCCAGTGGTAGCATGTAGATGTTAAAGAGAAGAGGCCCCAAGATTGAGCCTTGAGGTACCCATGTCATATTTGTCAACTCAGATGTGTATTTACCTATAGAAACAAAGTTGTTTCTGTCCTTTAAGTAGGATTCAAACCAATTCAGAATTGTTTCCGAAAGTCCCACCCAGTTTTCCAGTCGGTCTAGTAATATGCTGTGGTCAACAGTGTCAAACGCAGCACTGAGATCTAATAATACTAACACTGAAGTTCTGCCACTGTCTGTGTTTAAGTGGATGTCATTAAAGACCTTTACAAGAGCAGTCTCAGTGCTGTGGTTTGGACGAAAGCCTGACTGGAACACATCCAAACAGTTATTTAAATGCAAGAAATTACTCAACTGTTGAAAAACAACTTTTTCAATGATTTTACCTAGAAATGGCAGGTTTGATATGGGCCTGTAATTGTTCATTACTGAAGTGTCTATCTTTTTTAAGTGCGGTTTAATGACTGCAGTTTTCAGGGCCTGTGGAAAAACACCTGAGTGAAGAGATTTGTTTACTATGTGAAATAGATCTGAGGCCATGCAAGGCAAAACATCTTTGAAAAATCCTGTTGGAATAATATCAAGGCAGCAGGAGGAGGATTTCAGAAGTTGAATAATGTCCTCTAGGTTTTTATCATTAATCTGATGGAATTGTGTCATGGTGTCTGAATTGATATTAAGTGGACACAGGGACAACACATTTGCTGTACCTGATGCAGAGGCACTGACTGCTTGTCTGATTTTCTGAATTTTGTCAGTGAAGAAGGAGGCCCTATTGCAGGCCCTGGTGGATAGAAATTCAGAGTCTACTGATACTGGGGGGTTTGTTAGTCTGTCAACAGTAGCAAATAAGGCACATGTGTTGTTTTTGGCAATGATGTCAGAGAAGAAAGACTCCAAGTCTCTCTTTATAGATTTTAAAAGGAATTTTTTTCTGTTTTCACGGTCATTTAATTTCATGGCCTTTCTCCATGGAAATATTTTCTCGCCAGTCACTTCCTTTATCTTAGTTGGAGCAATGGCATCTATAACATTTTTAATTTTTGAATTAAAATGATCTACTAGCTCATTTATTGAGATGTTAGCAGGGGCAAGTGTGGAAGAAAAATTCTGAGTAAACATTTCCCTAATATTTTCAGTTAAATATCGCTTTGTGGTTACCTCTTTTTGAACATTTTTGTGAACAGAAATAGAGCTCTCAAAGAAAACACAGGAACGATCAGAGAGTGCAACATCAGTCACCACAACCTTAGAGATATTCACACCCTTTGAGATAATTAAGTCCAGAGTGTGCCCCTTATTGTGCGTGGGCTCCGTCACAATTTGATAAACTCACACAAACGTTGAGCACTTGCTGTTTCTAAGCTGATTCACCACTCTTAATCTATTACCTATCAACACAGATATTGGCAAAGCTACTGGCAGGCAGGGCCCCGGCATGTCCTGGAAAGAGTTGAGAGTGCCATACGCCCTTGAGCCTGGACCCAGCACATATCAGTTAGAGTTTGCTGCGTTTTGTACACACACATCCTTATCAGGCTTCGGAGACTGCAGATGCTTTCCTGAAGGGGGGAGGACGTTTTGGTCCGGATGATTGTGGTAGGCATGGTGATGAAGATGGGGGAGAAGGTGCGCATCTCTTCTTCGGTGATTCTGGTGGGTGACGTTGAGGGACGGGGGTCAACGACATGTTGCTAACCCTTTGTATCACCTTCATATTTTCAGTGAACTCCAGGAAGGAATTGGTGGCAACCCTGTGCATTTCCTTCATGTGGTCATCAAACTCCAGGAGGGGGGGCAAGTGTGAAAGGGTGAGCGGAGAAAAGAGAGCGCTGGGGGATGAAGGAAGAGTATCCTCAAAGGTGTTGGTAGGGGGGGTGAGGGGCGGTGGAGACTCCACCATTTGTCTCATAGGTCTCCCATAATCAAGACATTCCTCAGGCGGGTACAGTGATACTTCAAGGTTTTCTGTGTGATGTGTTGTGTCTTTCTCATATTTTGATTCCTCTTCTCGCTTGTCCTTGGCAGAGGGAACAGATTGATGATGCAGGCAGTTGAATATGTTAGAGATAAACAATTTCACTCCTGACTTGTTCAGGCAAACTCCATCTGCCTTAAAATGATGTCTGCGATCCCAGAAAAAGTTTAAATTGTCGATAGAATGGGCAGAATGGTCAGTACAGGCAGTTGAAAGCCACGTGTTCAGTGCAAACAATCTGCTGAATCTCTCCACTCCTCTTCTGACTGGCGGTAGAGGGCCACTGATGAACACCTCCGCATTTTTGGCTCATTTCCACTACAGGGCCTCGCACAGCTTAGTACGGTATAGTTAGGCCTTGGTAGGCCAGGCTCACTTTATGCTGCGTTTCCATTACAGTTTAGGAACTGGGGTAGTAACTATAGTAACGCAGTTTAGGCGGAGCCGTGACGTCATCTTCAATGCGAAACACAAAAACAACATCTGCCACTAGCTGTTAGCACTCAGAGCTCACAGCTCCTCATATCTGTTCAGAAACTAGACAAAAGTTAAACAAGTACAAACCACAGACTGCCTGTGTCATGGCGAATACAGTCGCTGGTTTATTTATGTCTGTATAGGCCGTTGTTGTGAGTGTGGACGGTCGGAGCATATAAAACGTTAGCTTAGCCGATCTCCATTCAGAAAACACGCATTTTAAAAGGATTTTGGCCTGCCGTCTTGTCTGCAGACTTGTCAAAGCATTAATTCATGGTTTTTACTAACCGGTATCAGTATGTTGTTACTTCGGCATCATTTTGAAACGTGTATTACAATTAAATCATGGTAAAATATGTTCATTTTGCCCCCTTGCCAGCGATTATCTTACTAGTTTAACATATTCAGCACAGTTGTTGGCCCGGAAATAACCTGGATTTGGGAGAGCCAGAACAACTGTGAAACAGTACTACCCGTTAGCCGGAGCTACCCCTAGTGGAAACGCAACAAAAAACTGGCCGGGCACGGCGCTCCGCGCTGTAGTGGAAATGTGCCATTAGAGAGCTGACACAGTTTCCAACAAACATTTAAAGTCTTCTTTCAGCATTTCTGACTGTTGTTTCACATTTGTTCCAATATGCAGTACCACATTTTTCACAGTCGGATGTTCAGCCCCAATATGCAGGATCTTCTCAGCCAAGTCAGAGACCATATTTTTGGGAAAACTGAGTACTTTGGTGTTGTTCTTACTACACAGACTTTTTACATCTCTTTCAGCAGAGTCACCCACAATCAGAGTTTAGGCCCAGTCGTTAGCTTTCCCTCTAGCCTTTTACTTTTGGAGTAGCTATTGGTCCTTGAAGGGCGAATTAGACTGTGGGGGGCTGTCACAATCTAGATAATTAATGGGATACTGATACAGGATTGTAATCATTGCAGTGCCCAAGTTATTGCACAAAAAAAACAGTTTTTAGTTGATTAATGCAATTTTTAAACATTAATAAATAAAAAATCTATTTTCTCATTTAATTTGTTTAAGTCGTACCACGTTGTACAATGGATAAAATCATTATGCCAAAGTTTAGGGGCCATGCTTTACAGTGATTTTAGAACAGCTTAGGGGTTGTGCTGGTGTGTGCTTCATTACATTAGCATATCCACTTAAATAACACACATATATGGAAAATGATAATGCTATTATAAAATTACAATATTATTTTTTATGCATAACCATTTGTATTAAGTCTCAATGGGCTTCCACAGATTTCACTTGTCAGTTGATAAACTGTTATTATAAAATATGTCTTATTGCCGCTTTAACGATGGCTGGTTGGGTGTATTAAGGATCCAGATTTTTTATTTTTTTATTGCTGGTACTTAGAAACACTCCTCTGCAGTACGACTCACCCTCTGAAGGTATGACTTTTGGGTTGCAGTCCAAATAACGCTTAGAAAAGTGAGCCAGCACCCTCTCCCTCTCCTGAGTCTCCCCCATCAGGGCAAACTGCCGGAGGAAAGTCCTGCACACACAAACACAACATCAGTCAGGTTCCTTAGTTTCTATGTGAATACCTCTTCAAAGAGTGATCATCACTTGTATGTAATTAAATGTAATAAGTTGCCAGAGATAGAAGGTACCTTAGTATATTTACTCATGTTTTGTATTTACTTTAAACGTATTTACTACATGTAAGAGAGAAATATAGCGTGTTCAACTTTATTATATTTATCATACAGCTGTCCTTGCTTTTTGTTATTTACAACTTGTAAAACATGATCAGTCTTAGAATAGAAACTACCTACTAAGATAAAACAAAGTCAATAAACTCCACCTCAACCTCCTTCAACATTAACATTTAAAATAACTTTACCGTTTTAAAAACTGATTTAAAACACATGATAGTGGAATTAGCCCATACTTCAATGTGTTAAACTGCCTTAAAATAAAGGGGAGTAGAAAGAATAGAAGCAGCATGATTAGCATAACAAATATCTGAGTAAATAAAATAAAATGACTACAGTATAAACCTCTGTTACACAATACACACTGTCTTCTGGCTGTAGGTACTGTACACACTGTCATTTACTCTGAATGCAACACCAAAGCTGCCCTCTAGAGAGCAGCGTTTTACAGTGGAGAGCATTTACTACATGCAAACAAAAAAGACTTTTAATTAAAATTAGATCTTTTCATAGGAAGATAACACACATCAAGACCACCATCATAGTCTAAAATAATTATTAAATCATTAGAATATCTTATTTTGGAGGGAGTGCAATAACATTTCAATGGCTGGTTATTTGCCAGACAATAATTTAAGATTTAACAACTGTTTTATGAAAAACAGACTGGCACTGACTTAATACATGAAATGTATTGATATGTAATGTAATTATAAGTGTTTTTAAATATCCAGTAATGTGTTCTCACCGCAATGCCTGGTCAATAGCGAGGCCCGCAAAGTCGAAGAAGCTCAGATACTCTTCTGCAACCATTCGGCTGAAGTCATTACTGTAGACAGACAGACAAGAGATAATATTACATACTTAGTAGAAAATATAACAAAATAAAGACAACAAAAACCAAATCCAGTGTCTATAAAAGCACAAAGTGTCAATGAAACGTCCAAATTCTTTCTACCGGTAATCTTTCTGAGCTCAGTGAATGGCCTCAGTTTGTGTTGTCGGTCAGTCAGCCGGAGATGCAGACCGGACAGAAACAATAAGGAGGAGATTCCCAGGGTGCATTTGTCAGTGAGGAAAACCCTTTAATCCAACATGTTTTCTCATCAGCCAGCAAACAGCTGGCAGACTGACGGGCTGATCGAGCGGAGCATCGCTGCAGGAATGCAGATGCAGTGAAACACAAATCTTTATTGGCAGAATGTAGAGTGGCATACAGTCAGTATGTATAGGAATGTGCAACAGTATTCAATCATTAAATAAACATAGAATGCAGCAGAAAGAAGCCTAGAGTTAGCATTTAGAATAAGAAGAGTGCCATTAGCTTCAGCTGATTCAAAATGCTGCAGCACGCGTATTGACCAAAGGGACCATATTACTCCTGTATTGGCTGCTTTGTACTGGCTCCCTATACAACACAGGATATCATTTAAATTCTTCTTCTCCTCACCTACAAAGCCTTTAATGGGCAGGCACCATCCTATCTTAAAGAGCTCATTATACCCTACTGTCCCACTAGGGCATTGCGTGCCAATAATGCAGGGGATTGGTTATTCCTAGAGTCACCCCAGCGCTTTTCCCGTTCTCGCTCCGTGCTAGAGCTTTTCCGGTTCAGCTCTGGTTTCCCTTTTCCGCTCCCGCTTTGTTCACACCACACAGAGCCGGGGTGGTACTGCGTCATTGCCTCATTGTTTGCGTCATTATGTAACCGTTTACGTGCCTGCTTCATAAAAGCAATTTGTTGCCAATCTGTTCAACGCTACGGTCATAACCAGCGGTTGCCATCTCTCGCTGCAATTGTTGCAGAATAGCTTTGGACCGCGTGCTCCCCTCCAGCTTCCTCTGTACCTCTTCGGAAGACCAGATTGCCACTAGGTAGCTGGTCTCTTCAGTGGACCACTGCTGCTTATTAGGTTTGAGGTTTTCCATCGTTGTGTACAAACTGGATAAAACGCGGGCATTTTGTTGTTGTTCAGGAGGTTGATCCCGCCCATGCCCCTGCCCCCGCCTCGACGTAAGAGAGACGTAAGTGGCGCCGCCTCTTAGTTCCGGAATCTTGCTTCTAGGCCGACAATTTTTTGGAGCTGGAAAAGAACCGGATTCCGGAGCTAAGAGGTGGCGCCGCTGCGGGGTGAAGAGGGAAAACCGGTACTTTTCAGGCTGTAGCTCCGAGCCGGCCCTGAAAACGCGTTGGTGTGAAAGGGGCATCAGTAAAGTACAATGGGAGCCAGAGCCTTTTGCTATCAAGATCCTCTTTTGTGGAATCAGCTTCCAGTTTGTGTTGGGGCGGCAGACACCCTATCCGTTTTTAAGAGTGCAAAACACTATTATTACATAATGCAGGATTGGAAAAAAAAAGGGGTCGTACACAACAAAACAAGCACACTTTAGAGATGTTCAGACACTTATGCTTCAGACAAGGAAGCTATAAGACAAGCTTCTCCAATCGATGGGACGCTCAAGCGTTGACATACCCTATCATGAAATACACCTGATTGGTCCGTGGTTATCTGATTGTGGCAGAGCCCTGTTCATAAACTTTCCATCCAAACCATCCACAAAGAAATTCTGAAAACGTTTGATTCAGGAAATAGGCTATGCCACTGCTGAATCCTGTTTCATTCTAGAACTACTTCTTCCAGTCTGATAGCTTGGTTTAAGTTTTGTGAGCCAGCTGTGTCAAGCTGGACAGACTAAATTGTATAAAGTTAGGATTTTCTTTATACTTTATTCAAATACATGGCATGAAATGGCCAATGATGTGTGAATGTTAGCTTCCGCAAGTGCTCTGTATTAACGACTTGTAAATGTTGTTAATGGGGTCGTAAGACTGGATAAAACGCTATTTAAAAGCAGTCGATTAACCATTTACATAAGCATTCATGATACAACCCAATAAGATCATAAAGTAGCTCACTTCTTGCTGAGGTGCCGCGCCACATCGGACTTCCTGAAGCCGTCCAAGTTGAAGAGACGTTTGGCCAGGCGTCTGGCGGCTGCCACGTCAGCACGGTGGCTGCCATTGGTGAGGGTCTCACTGCTGCCCAGACCCAGTCGCTCACTGAGGTCCTGGTCCAGCTCCGAATCTGTCGCCAGACGGGCCTTGTCCCTGCTGAGAAGACAGCAGGTGGGGGTGGGGGTTGAGAGGGTGAACACAGGGCAGAAGTAGTGATTAAACACAAATAAATTGGACAGAACAGGATATGGAAAGAAAGGGAAATTAAGAACATTTTTGGTCGAGGAGTGTTAAGTAGAAAAAATGATATTTGTCTAAATAATTGAAAAGGAAAGACAGAAGGGCATTAAAAGAGGACAAAAGAATGATGGAGATATAATAATAAAACTAATAACTGCGGTATATCAATAATGTAATATTACTAAAATCTGATCTGTGCAGCACCGTGAGTTTCCAGCAGTGTAAGAAAAGAATAGTGGAGACGAAAAGTGCAAAGCCGATCAAGAGAAAGTAGATTATACAAAAATAAACATCTAATAAGTAAAACTGTATTTTAAAATATAAGATGAATGGTGAGCGGATAGAGGAATATAAAAGAGGATTCAAAGACATACAGTATGGAGGGAGAGATCTGAGGTAATATATACAGAGTAGTAAACAAAGCCTATACTGTACATTCATTAAATGTAAGCAAATCATTTGATATTCAAACACTAGCTTTGGCATGATTATACACTTCACAAATCTCTTTTGCTGGCTTGTTATCACTTCCCAATTAAGCCCCTTCAAAGCTTAAACCAGTTCAGAAGGGCAACACTTCTTACATCTGAATTATCCTGTGATAATAATGTAAGCATGTTATGTCACACTGAGCTGAAATAGAACTACTTTTCTGGCTTCTGGATAACAGAAACAAGGCCTCTGAGTTCAGTTACTTAAAAATCGACATGATGCTGACTTTCATTGATGCAGTGTGACAATTCTCGTCATGCCTCTTGGGCTGACAGAAAGAAAGTGACAGTTCAACAGCTGAGAGTTGTATTCCAAAGAGCAAAGAACACTTCCTGAACAAGTGAGTCTCTCATTTGGATGTCTCAGCGTGAGGAACAAGCCAACAAAACCCACAGTCCCAGGGCTTTGCTTCGCACACTTACACATCCTCACACTGTAAATGAGTCAGACGAAATCACACCAGAGCAAACAGTAATTAATAACACAGGCCAACTAGGGAAGAAAGCTCGAAGGGTTCAATGGTCAACTTTGGTTTCACAAAGAACACAGAAGAACAAGAACTACATTTACAGCCAATGTAAGGCTGTACTTAGGCATTGAGCTAAATGCTTAGCATAGCATGTATAATGTTTACAATGCTATCATTGTAGTTTAATGTGTTTGCATGCTGCTAATTAACACAAGCTACAGCTAAGGCTGATGTGACACTTAAAGTGTTGCACTAGTGACTAAATACAAATGTGAAAATTATAATGGAGCAAGATAAAAAGTCAGGTGATCATCAAAATAAATCTAGAATTTATTTCAAAAGAGACATGTGTGTGGTCTGCGGACATGTGTCTTCTTTAATACAGCATGATGTTTGCTTTGTAAATGATAGACCTATTTAGAGTGAAATAAATAATAAAGCAGGGTATGCTTTGGGGCAAGGCTACCTTGTGATGACAGGTCTCAATCCCAGTGTTGTTTGGTTTGGGTGTTGTTCCAAACATTTGGACTACCTATGTTGTAAATGTATTATCTTTTCAATTTACACACGGCATCTATTGCACGTCTGTCCTCTCTGTTGCTCTCCCTGAGGTTTCTCCCATGTTCCCTTTAAACTGTGGGTTTTTCCGGAAGTTTTTCCTTGTACGATGTGAGGGTCTAAGGACAGAGGGTGTCGTATTGTCATACTGATATTCTGTACAAACTGTGAAGACCACTGAGACAAATGTAACATTTGTGATATTGGGCTATATAAATAAACATTGATTGATTGATTCATGTTTTCTTCTTAAATAAGGTCATGAAAGTTAATAGTAACATTTGGTTACAAAAAAGGTATTTTTAGCATTCATTTGTACTTGGCTCAACTCTCTCACATAGCCTCTAGTTCCAAAAAACCAAGGTGACAAACCAAACAAATGGCCAACATCACAATGACTAGGTCCAATACTCTATCAAGTCTAGAGGAATAAGCAACATTGCCATTGCTACAACTTTGCAAACATTGTTATGGGAGATGATCTATACTGTTTTAAAACCGAGGTGAACAGCTTGCTAATAGAGACTACACAGCTCCTGACACCCAGGCTCAATTTCATAATCAAATCCTCTGACATACGTGCGAAGACATGCGAGACAGGTTCCTGGGTGGGGACCTACCTGTGGAAAGACCGCCTAATCGTCAAATACCTCTCCTCTCCGACTGCAGCTGAACCCTGACAGCAGAAGACAGACGGCGTCCTCATTGCTGTGCCCTGAACACCACCTCTTCTCTGACTGCTAGCCCGGACAACCCCTCCTCGCCGCCTCCCGGCCTTGTAACCTGAACGCATCACTGTGGCAGAGGAGCACCTGTAGTCTCTCCCTTGGGGTCTGCAGACTTTAACATTCCTCTGCTTGGTTTCCACTCAGAAAGGGACTTCATGTTTTCCTCCACTTTCTCACTCCCTCTGTTTGCTGTCATTTGATCCTCACGGCAGGATTCCTTCCCCTCCAAAGTAAAAGTTCTGTTTGTCCTGCAATGCCTCTCCTTCTCTGTCTTTTTCCCTCTGAGTCTGTTTGCTGTTGTTCCCACTTTTCACTCCTCCCTCTCTCTTTCTCCCTCCCTGTTCCACTGTGTAAACTCTCACTGTCCCCTGCTGACCTTGGATTCTAAGCATGGCATGAAACTTGGCTTGTCTGTTGCCTACAAATCCCACTCCCTTTTCTTCTCTACCCTCCATTCATTCCTCTCTCTCGCTCTCTGCATCTCCGATTACACACAATCAGTAAATCCATCCTCTGTGTGTTGTACAGATTCTGGTTTACCTTGTTTCTGGTGTGAGCTTTGAGCACACCTACATAGGAAACAAAGATATATGATGTGCCAGGTATGAAGTGATATATCCACTGGGTGTGTGCCTTAAACTGTTTCCTACAACAATAACTGCCCAGGGGAGAGAGTTGGTGGCCTTTTGTTAACGCATGAGTCCATTGTCTAATCTGTTTACAGCATACGCTTCATCAAGGCCTGAGGAGTGTGTGCACCATCATAAGATTAGGCCAGCAATGGAGTTTAGGCTCAGCTCACCTGTTTGTATTGTCTCATTTAGAGCCAAGAGGTCCTGAGAGAATTCTTGCTTTAACGGTATCCCCCGCTTAATTCTGTCCACTGGATGGCTCTGCACAATGAGCCTCTGTCTAATGGTGCAGACTATCTGAAAAGGGAGATGTGAGAATAGGAGGAGGAGGGGGAGGACGGGAGGGGAGTGAAAATCCAACTTTTATCAAAGTATGGACTCCATAAATATTTGTCTCGCTCCTGGATTCCACAGCTCCAGGGCTGCCAGAGTCAGGCTTGTTAGAAAAGCACGATAAGATTGGTGGTAAAGCAAATATTTATCTGCGCTAGTCCGGTGTGATTCTGTTCTCATATAAATAGTTCTATCAGGAAGTTGGGAGAACATTTACAAGTTTATATCCCTAGTCCAGGGGTCGGCAACCCGCGGCTCTCGAGCCACATGTGGCTCTTTAAGCCCTCTGCTCTGGCTCCCTTGAGCTTAGACATAAATAAGAAGGAAATAAAATAAAAGTATTTGTGGGACTATTTATATTTTGTTGCATGGTTGAAAATGTTTCGTATCTTGTATTTTGAGGTGATACTGTGACACATAAATAAAAAACTAAACGGTTTTAATTAGGTCAACTAAAATATGCGTCACATCCTGCTACGGTCCCGCGCTAGCGCCTTTTCCTGCAGGCGAATAACCTGACCCCAGCTTGATGAGCGAACTATGGATAAATCAAAGAAAATAAATCCTGTGTTCCGGAGGTTTACAGGTATGTTTGATATGTAGAGAGAAGTTGTTAAAGGTGCTGCAGCCTTTACGTATGGAGGAGAAAAACGGAAGAGGAAGACAGCTGACGATCTTCAGTCATAATTCAATCAGTTAACTCTTTTTAGGGTGCAGCTAAATGTTTTATTTATTTCAAAGTGGGTCCATTTTAAATTGTATTTTTTTTCCTTCAAATGTGCAGAGGACTCCCCAAGTGCTGTGTTTAATTTATTTTAAAGTAGGCCTGTGTATTTTTTGTAATTCTCCTTATAAGAGTTCTTTGTTTCTTATTAGAGGTTAACAGTTGTATAATGTAATAAATAATAAATGCAAAAAACTAGTTTTTGTCTATGATATAACAGTAAATACAACTTTAAAAGCTATCAAATATGTTTTGTGGCTCCAGACAAAACAAATTGTTGGGCAAAGGGGGCAAAATGGCTCTTTTGGTCAAAAAGGTTGCAGACCCCTGCCCTAGTCACTCAATAGCAAGAAAATAGGGAGCAAAATGAACATGCTAAACCACGGGTGGCCAGACTATGGACTGTAATCCAACTGCGGCCCATTTATGAATGGCCTGCAGTGAAATAACTAGAATAAGGCTTCAGCGTATTTCTAATACATCTGTATACGTTGCACATTCTTGTTTGATTATATAAGTCAGCTCTATTCTGCCATCAGCAAAAAAGTATACATTTATAATATATCTGCCTGAAAACTTATGAACACATTTTAGATTCAGACATTTTTATTCCTCACAAAATTAGCATTTCATTTACACAAAATATTCTAATATTTGAATATATATTATTCAGTTTATTTCTACTGATGCGATTTTAGAAAAAAAATTACAGAAATGGTTTGGTTTTGTCCTGTTTTTTTGTGTAGCATAAATCGAATACATCACACTTTGTTTTGAGACTGTTGTAAAATGACAAGATAAGCCCCTGAATATTTTTTGTGGGAAGTGGGTGATTCAACCATATATTAGATATTGCAATTATTATTATATACCATTTTAGACTGAAAGATATACTTTTTGAAACATGTTTGTACGATAATAAAAAACAAATAATGCCAAACTATTTAGTAGTGTTGAGTGGTTATTTTAATTTAAAAAAT